AGCAAGAAAATGTTAGGTGTTTTTGTTGTGAATGGCTATGAATAGATTGTGTTTTTTCTTCGTTGGCCTTTGGTTCAAAGGATTATAGGGTTTGTTGATAAGGAGAGAATTTAGGACCAAAGCTTGTCTGTAATTTTGTTATTTAAAGTAAAAAAAAGATATTTAGGATTTTGGACAAAGGTTGAGAGCAATTCCTGGGGATATAATATATGTCACAAAACTGTCTCTGTTCTTATCTTCCAAATGTCAATACTTTACCATGTTAATTTTTTAACATCAAGATTTTTATAACATTTGCCTAATCATTTATATATAGGATTGAACGAGTTTACGAAGAAACTGACATGTACTAAATCATCATTATCTGATACGTATTAAAAACCAATTTTATAGTTCTTGAGTTCTGGCATGTATTAGTTTAAGAAATTTAATCCTTTTTTTTGTAATTCATATAATCTACTATATAAAAGCTTGATGGCTCTCTCCATCTATGCGACACGTCACCAACTTTGCTTCTTCACATGTTGACACGTGTACGAATTATATTGGCTTAAACACTCTCAATATTTTAATTAAGAGAATACTAATTACAATCCTAAAATAATAATTTACTCGGTAGCAGATTCGTCTTTACTTTTCAAAGCTTCATGATACATAACAGCGACTGAAATCTTCACTTCCGTTCACGACACATCCTCTAGGCTTTCAAAAAGCTTCGCCGTATCCAACAACCATTAGATTCTCTGTAGCCACGCTGGCAAAATCATTTTCCGTTATCCCGACTGAAAGATTTGTGTTGTCTTCTTCGTTCTTCTCAGTCTTCTTTACTGGTTAGTTAGTTTCTTATTTTCCATTTTAACTCATATTGGAATTTCGCTCAAGTTCAATTAACTCTGTAAAGCGTGATTAAATGTTGATTTCGCATATTAGGAGAGGAATCTCATGGAGAAATATGCTCATGTCCGATTTATGAAATAATATCACTACTTGTGGGTCAAGCCATTTGAGAATAGTTGGGAGTCTCAAAGAAACTCTATTCCTGAAAGCAGTTATATCATTCTTGGTTTTTCCCTTTGTTTGAATTTGCTGAATTCTCAATAAAATTAAGAAGGTGAAAAAGATGCAAATGAGGTCTTGGGAGCAGATGGAGTTTATAGAGCAATTAGGGATAAAAGCCTTAAACTCTCTCACCTGATTAGAAAGTTTTTGTTATTTGAAAGCGAATTTTCTTTCTAAACTTAGTTCTTGCTACTTAATTCACTATAAATCAATCGCAAGAAAAATGAAATTCTATCTTAATTAGACTAAGCACCTTATCAAAAGCAACGGAAAATTCAATTTGTTAAAGGTGAAAGTGTGTTATAGTAACTATGTTTTGTGTTTTGCTGCTGAACCTTTTGGAATTTCTCGAATAGAAATAGCAAGCAATATTTTGCAGGGTTTTGCAGCTTCGGTTAACATATAGAGGATTAACTCTATAATCTGCAAAAAAAACATTGTATCTTAGTGTAAAATCCTTTTTATGTTTCTGGAAGAGGGCCATTTGATAAGATGGTAAGCGTTAGAATAGCAGTGTATATTTTTACCGTCTGATGATCATGAATGTATCCAGCCTTGTAACATTCTATGAGTAATCTATCATAACTTCTGAACTCTTTCCCTTCCCCCTCAACTTGTCTCTTTCATGAGGTAATGCATTGCTGGCTATATTCCACTTAGTATGATGAGTCCTTATTCGCACCTTGTTCTCGCCTGACTTCATCACTTGGATATTTCATTCAAATTTAGTTATTTTCAAAGGTGTAGAACATTGTACGACCTGTAGGCACTTTGTGTCAGTTAAATGTAACTATACTGATTTTCTTTGGTAGTGCTGTTTCTAGAAGAATTAGTAGTTCTTAAT